TTTTTTTTTTTTTTTTTTTTTTTTTTTTTGTATTTTATCCTGTAAAAGAAAGTACATGAATGTCCTCTGTGTATGCAGAAAGTGAGATCCAGCCTGGGCTGTGTGTGCTGAGGAGATGCTCGTTTGGATGAATGTGTGATTGCCACTGAAGTTACTGATTTAAGCTATGTTGGATTTCATGAGCTACCAAAGTAGCCTGTGAGATGCATCTGCTTTATGATAGAGAAGAGACTGTGACTTGGTCCCTGCAGGTTAGGTTTTTTCTTTTGCTGTCTCTCTGTAATTTTAATGGTTTAGAGAGGCAGAGGTTATTTTCTGTACATCGTCCTTTCAGTGTCTGAGGGCTTTTAGTGGGGTCAGTGCTTAATCCTGATCTGTATAAAGATTTAAAGAGATGCCCACTCAGTATTAACTTGTCGTACTCGAAGCTAACACTCGTGTTCAGGTTTCTTATTTGCTTGGACAAGCTGAAGTGTATGGTTCAGTTTATGAACTTTCCCTTTCTCTTGCAAAGGGGAAGAAATGGGAAGCTGTGGATACTTTTAATGAGTATTTGCTAAAAGGATCCTTTGATGTTAGTAAGATTACTCTCAGTGCTGGCACACTGCGGTTTTTCTCTCTGTTTTCTCTTTTTCTTTTATACTAGCACCGTGGCAGCCTCTTCATGAGCTGTGGAGTACTGGAATTTTACTGGGAATTGCTTTTTATTTTTATTTATGGTGGTGGTGGTGTAAAAATGTCAAGCTAAATCAAAAGCAATAGCTAAAATTAAACCAGTGCTTCTTTCTGAGATCCTTAACACACCTGGCAAGAATGAGAATTTGCTTTGCTTGATATCTAGCCTTCACATTATAGCATTGATTTTTGATTCTTACCTTGTGTGTTGTCATAAAACATCCGTGCTGCTGTCCAGGTCAAAGGAGGAATAGGAAACACATTTCTTTATAAAAGGGATACAAATTGTTGGGGGTGGGTGAGTAGAGGAAGAGTTATTCCTCTTTCTCTTTTTAAAATCTATGACATGAGTTAGCCAGTAGATAATAGTGCTGTTGAATATTCCTAGAACTTTGACCACTAGTAAAGGGCGACTCCTTTGTTAAAGTGCCTATGATATACTTGAGTTTTGCTACTGATGGTACTTCAAGAATTTTTAAATAAATAAAAATCTCTCAAAGGAGATTTTTCTACCTATTGTTGCACTCTCAAAGTTAGTGTAACTTGCAGTGTCTAAGAAATTCTTGGACTGTGTCTGTGCTGGTGGATACTGTTGTCCAAGATGTAGGTCCAGGCTTCCACAATAGCTCTTGACACAATTGCAGACAGGTATTGTAGTAGTGTAGTGATTAAACGCATTCTAGTTTTGAATCATGACTCCAGTCCTCTCCTCACTGTCCTATTTTGTCAACTGTGCTGTAAGACTTTGGATAAATAGCTGTGGACTTCATCTACGATGATACTCTGTACTTCCACAGTGTCATAGCATCCTGTGCCTCTTTTCAATCCCTTTTTATTATATCCACCTTATGAGAGAATCCTATTGAGAGTTTTTTTTTTTTTGAAAGAAAAGACCCAGACAGATGTTTTTGTAATAATGTAGGGAAAATTATTTTATTTCTCTCTTCTCGAATCCCCCAGGAAGGAGACTGGCATCCTGAGATCTATCCTAGTTCTCAGAAACCTCCACAATAATTCAGATATCTGAAGCTGAAGGTATTTGCTCTGAGGGTTTTCATCTCGTCCTTCTCTAGGATAAATGATGTGTATTCCCAATAGTTACATACACAAGCTCATATATACATCACATATTTATGGCTACTCACACAGATCAGCATGGACAGAACAGGCTGCCCAGGGAGGCTGTGGAGTCTCCTTCTCTGGAGATCTTCCAAACCCATCTGGATGACACCCTGTGCTCTGGGTGTCCCTGCTGGAGCAGGGAGATTGGACTGGATGATCTCTAGAGGTCCCTTCCAACCCTAAACATTCTGTGATTCTGTGATGTGGATTTAATCTGGAATGGGTCATGCATAGGAACAGCTCAGAATATTGCTTGGGTAATACTTGGGAATTCTGCAAGGCAGATGCAACCTACATTATTAAGGACAGTACAAGGAAAGAAATCTTTGCTCTGAAGTGCCAGAGATCTCTGGGAAGGTGTCTCCCTTATTTAGCTCAAGTCAGGTCAAGAAAGGGCAGCATAGTATATTAAAGCAGGGGGTATCAGTTTTGCAGCCTGGAGCTGAAGCCACCTGTGGGCTCCTGCCACCAGTAGTACTGGGTGCGTATCCATTCTTTGGGCTGCATGCCTTGTCACTTTATCATTGTACTTTTTAAAAATGGAATATAATGCTGTTTTGCATGAGGTGAGGTCGTGCTTGTTGAGAAAGAGGGAGCGTTAGCTGAGATGAGGTTCTGGTAATCCTG